TGTGTGTGTGTGTGTGTGTGTGTGTGTGTGTGTGTGTGTGTGTGTGTGTGTGTGTGTGTGTGTGTGTGTGTGGCATGACAACACCAAATTCTTTGGCATAGTCAACAGAAAGAAATGCTGCAGAATGAGCACCTTTTTGGCAAGAAAAAGCTGAATAAAATCCATTCGGGTTGCCACACATTAATATCGTACTATGCTGGTGTGTATAAATAGCTTTGAGAAACCAAGTTTCCACTAGAGCTGAGAAAGGCCGAGCGAGAAGTCCGCATTTCTTCTACGGCGGCCTCTTTGTGAGACCATTTTCCATCTTCCACGCTTTTTAACCCGTACATCATGTTAACTTAGCAACCCCCCTTCCCACACCTCTTCTCCTCCTGAAAACACGTTGCTGTCCACCGTCAGCTCCTCTCAGAAAGAGAGGGTCAGTCTTCATTCTGGGGCGGTGGCTATTTTTGTTGACACTTGGCTCACAGGCAGAGCTTCTACAACAGATTGCAAAGGCGCGGCAACCGCTACGCAATGATGTGTGTTAACTCAAGTGAGAAAAAGAGAAAGTGACAAACTTCATGAGCCATTGACGCCGTGGCTTATGGCTAAACAGGCTCATTGCTTTTGGTTAGCAGTGGTGAGGGATCGGTTGTCACGGCGTCGGATAGGAGGCTTCTGTTTCTCGCTGCGCTTTCATTTCTGGCGTACGCACACACACACACACGCACCACACACAGCATGGCGTCACTGGCAAAGAAAACACAACAGCTGCACTCCAGACATAATGCTGGCGACATGTAGCCTTCCTTATAATCCTCTTTAGCGGAGAGAGAATGGTGGCCATTGTGTCCATGTGTGCAAGCATGCCTCTTAGTTTAAACTCTGATTTAGGTCCAAATTAAGGAAGCTCAGCTGTGCACATCTGGGCCTGACTGAAATTTCATCTGATAACGCGCCAAATGTGAGACGTCCCATCCTGACCACCCAAGTCCCTGAGCATCACCCAAACTCTCCAGACCCTCTCTCCTTCCAGCCACTTACAATCGCATAGTTTTAGACGTCTAGCCAACAGGAAATCACAGGAATATCTCTGCAGAGAGAGGAGAGGAAGAAGGGCAAAAAAAACTGTGGGAAGGATCAGTGGTTAGGGGTTAGTCAGGGTTGAGGAGGCAGCCTCTTTCAAAGCAGCTGGCTCTGCTTATCTCTTTCTGCGAAAACTGGTCCAAATGTGGCAGAGGTGATATGTGGGGTGCTGCAGAGCTAAGAAATCTATAAATGCACGCGACTGTGCAAGTGTCTAGACAACGCTTCTGGGGGGGGTAAGCATTTTAGGAGTGTGGAGTGCATTGTGCTGGTCTCTTTATCGCTTTACACTTCAAGATTTTCATCCATCAGAATAAGCAGTTCAGACTGGTGATAAAACTTTGTCCTGAAACCAGGACGAGCCGAATGTTAAAAGGCAGTAAAGTCAATAAGCAGCTGCTCTCTATCTTTTTAAAGGTCACATTTATCACTTTATCTTCACTGACACGAAAATGAATAAAAAATAATCTACTAGGAAAACATTGTTGCACAGCTAAAAAGTGCAAAGTTCACTCAGAAAAGCCAGGATTTAAACCTGGAACCTTCTTGCTTTGGAGAAATACTGCCAACCACCATATCATCCTGACGTGGTCTGAACAGTGTCATAGAGTTGTTAGAAAAGCTGCCTGAGCATTGGATTTGAGACTGAAAAAAAAGATGTAAGCCTCAATAATTACTCTTCAAAGTCCACCCGACAAAGAGAAGTGTCAGGAAATTACAGGGAAACTAGAAAACAATCAGGAAGTCTGCACATCCTCTATCTGGGAAAAACTAAACTACGCAGAGAAATTGATAAAGGAAATTTGTCATTTACTTTAAGTTTTGTCATTGTTGGCCTGGGGCCGCCAATGAAAGGGGGCTCGGGGCCTTCTTCCTGTGCCAGCAGGTTTCCTGGTGTGTCCTGTACTGGCGGTCCGGAGAGACTGGACGCGGAGACCTGGGGGACGGACAGGAGGAGCCCACAATCCTTGGCTGCCCGCAGAACCCCCGGCACCTCCTGAACACGGCTGTACCAGCGGAGCAGGTGGGGGAGGTGGTGCAGCGCGCCCGCCGCGTGGGCCTGGAGGGAACGCTATTAAAGACAAAGGAGAGAAAGAGACAGGAAAAATAAAAGGGGGAATATTGATTAAGTTACTCCACTGGTGTGTCATGTCTAGTGAAGCGAGAGGTCAGGTTATACACCAAGTCTCTAAATCACACTGGTGGACAGAATCATGGGAAGGGCTGGCAGCAGAAACCCAGAGGCATGATCAGGGAGGCAGCCGAAGTGCAGAAGTGACCGTGTAGAGGACAGAGGAGAGTGGGTGGAGGGGGGGGGGGGCATTCACAAAGGGGAAAATGATTGAGAAGAAGCCACTGACGCTTCAAGTCTTGTGGACAGCGATGGCCGTTAAGAGGAGACACGCTACGCCAAGTGTGAAACTGGAAACCACTGGAGCACAGCTGACTGCTAAAAGCCTTATTGTGAGAACTTCGGGTTCCTTCCCACAGTCAAGGGATAGCTGGAGACAGCTGAGAGGTGAAATGGAGGTTGAGTCTCACTTCACTGCCAGAGAGACCAGAATTCCTGCTCAAAAGCAATACAGTCCTGTCAGAATTACTGGAACTGTTCGACTGTGTGCACAGAAGTTAATCTATCTTAAGAAATCAACGCAAATACATTCATTTGTAGAGATTTTAGAACAACATGCATTTCATGTAGTGAAATCAAAAATATAAATTTGATTAACCAGAGCAACTCCAAATTAAAGTCCTACATATCAGATGCAAAATGATATCAAAACATTTCATTAAATAAAAAAAACGCGGAGATACGCTCAGGGGTATCTTTTTCAAAATGGCAAAGACAAGAGAGTTGTCAGAGAGCATCATAAATGTTAGAAAAATACGTACAAGTGCCAAGGCCTTAAAGGCAAACACCAAAGATCTTCCAGGCTCCTGCTCCATAAGCTGAGTCACTTGATAGGAAATGCCCACCAGGCTTGTTTCTACTCATTTGTGGGCAGCAAACAAACTTGGCTGTGTGATGCTGACAAGAGGAGGAAATTAAATCTGCCCAAGATGATTTCAACAGAGTTGTAATTATAGTTTTGTGGTCTAGTCATGTCGAAAGGAAAAGAGTAAATTGACCCTGGAAACTGAAATATTATGCCATGTGGTATGAAGAGCTGAAAGGTAGGTGGGGAGATATCATTTTAACTACAAAACATTGGAAAAGGCACATAGAGAGAGTTGAGATACAAGATCAAACATGTAAAGGTCGGTTTACATTCATGCAAGAAAAGAAAAAACAAAGACAATCCCACTTCAGAAATGAACTACTTAATAGTTGTGGCACCAGAGTACTACTGGTTGACGGTAAAGTACTACTTAAAACACAATTACGTCTTGAAACAAAAGGTAAGACAACAACTACTGCTGTGTACATCCACCAGAGTAAAAGGAAAACTTTTCTATAAGAAATATTTTTATCTCCAGGAAGTACTTTGTCACACTAAGTTTAACATTTCCAGGTGCGAACCAGAAACTGCAGCCCAGAAACGAGTTTTCTTCTTCTTTTTTTCTACTTTGAGCTGGAGCCTGAGCTGTGACAGATAAAACTGAACAAACGTTTTAACCTGGGCTCTGGCTTAAAATTCATTACTGGAACTGCAGCGGCCGACAAATCCTCTGCTGCAAAAGAAGCGTGAAGCATGAGTGAAATCACATTTTAAGTCATTTAAGCACATCTTCTTAAAATCCAGCTTTGAGCACCCCTGTTACAGCTCTCCATTTCCAAAAAACCAAGAGCAGTGTATGATCACTGTCTGTAAAGCTTAGCTGTGGCAAATCTTTTATTTGAACTTGCTAACTTGATATTTAACAGCAAGAAACTCCATCAGCAAACATGCTACAATCTAATATAATGTCATTTTGACTGTGAAAACAATCTCATCTGTAAACCGTCTAAAAATGCTGTAATTCCACTGCCACAATGAAAAGAGCTGCAATTGTTGCCCATGATGAATATTCATCGTTGCTATGCTTAAAGTCCTCAAATATTTTCAAGTTAGGAGTTTTGAGGTCAATGTAAGAATCTGCCAACTTGAACTGCTGAGAAAACTTTTTAAATGAAATGCATTTCAACCTGCTGCATTTGAATAAGAACCCTCCCATACACTGTTATCGGGCTTTGCCAGGTGGCTGTGGACCACCTGTGAGAGCAAACATGTGCCAAGTCTGATGCAGCGAGTCTTCTCAGCTCAACTTTCTGCATGGCTGCATCCGAAAGGACCCCGATCGCTGTGTCAGAACAATAAGTCATGCATAATTTAACGAGTCATCATAATGAAGGAATTAAAAAGTCAGCAAACGCACAGGAGCCGGCAGCAAAAATTGGAAAAATGTGTGACGTGGCATGGGAAGACATTTATTATTTATCAATTGAGCTCAAAGAGACCTGATTGTTTTCCGGAACACTCGCGGGAGTTTTTCCAAATTGAGCTGTTTTTGAAAGATAGTGTCAGCCTTAAGAAAATGGATACGTAGGAAAAAAGGAAATGAATCTGATGTATGATCACAGCTCCGAATAAGGCACTTACTTAATACACATAGGAAGGATGAGGAGCTAATTCTTTGGGGCTCATTGCTCACGCGACATAAATCATACGGAATGTCATCAGGTCATAAGCGCTTACCAGATAGTGATAAATGCACGGCAGCAGCACCACATCAGTCAGGGTGAAGTAAAGTCCCTCAGCAAACACGTGCTCCAGGGGGGGCAGGTCTGTCGTCTTCACTTTCCTGATCTCAGAGTTCTCTCTGGTGGTTGAAGCTGGAACTGAATCCACAGACAGCTTGGAAAGTGCCGCCCTGAGTTCCAGTCCGTTCGAGGCCCGGGACGGCCGGACGGGACTGACCGCAGGGTCCAGGTCTCCCCGGCCTTCGGGGGTCTGCTTCTCCTCGCTCTGTCTTTGCTCTTTGAGTTTCTGCCTGCGTATTTTGTCATCGTTGTGTACTTTGACCGGCTCCGCAAGCCGCTGCTCGAGGGTCAGAATGGGAAGAGGAAGCTGGTGGGCCGGATCTCTGGGGTTCCGGAGGTGTTCCTCAACAGTGGAAGGAATGCAAATTTCACACAATCTAGTCCACTTGCTCACCTAATAAGGAGGAAGGATGCAGCAGTTTAGATCAAATATTTAAACGCACTTTCAGACGTAAAAGACATTTCACCTGTGAGTTATTGTATACGTTATATTGAAAGTATGGCATTGCGAAAGCAAGGGACAAACTTTTTCAAAGAGATCATCTCCAAGGAAGATGCCTCCTCGGTAAAATTTAAATCCAAAGGACATTTTGGAAGAAGTTTTACCTGAAGAGCTGAGGACTGTGGGGATAACTTTTAACAGAAAAAAATTCTTCTTTTTAGTTGGCTTGGTGTTTACCAGATGGTTTGAAATGAGACCAATTCCGCTCATTTTTATGCTCGCGAAAATAGTGTTTGAAGTGGCTATTAGTACTTCATATGGAGATTTGGGGGGAGGAAAATGTTACTGCACGAAACTGATTATGCCTATGGGTGCATTATAGGTAGACGTTTCAGAATTTCCCAGCTCACCTTGGAGCCAAATAAGTACTTGATCACAGCTCTGCTGCCTCCACTTGTGTCAAATCTATTGTTGTTGGACTGTGCTGTGAGTTAGAATTTATTACAGCTCAGTTAAAGTAACAACTTCATGCTTCAACCAATAACAGAGTAACTACTCTTCTCCCATCTTCATGTTAAATGTAGACTTGGCAAGTAGAGTGGGGACATAAGATCCCATCTCTGGTGATCAATCAAGATATTCCCACAAAAAGACTTATTTTTGCCATAGCTTCTGCACTGTTTTGATGAGTCAGACATTGGCTTTACTGTATGAATCCAATGAGTATGTAAATGCTTCCAGGTAATGGAGTCTAGGGTTATCTCCAACTCTCATACTCTTGTTGTTGTGTCCTGTTTTGGGGTCATTTACTCCTCACTAACCTCCGCACAGGCCTTCAGACAGGTCTTCTTGAAACCCAGCAGGGCCAGCACATCGTTCCTGGAAGGGTCAGCAGCGAGGGTTTGGTTGATGATGTGTCTGAGGACCACGGCCAGCCCGGCCCTGCAGAGCCGGCCGGTCCCGTCCAGAGCTGCGGGCAGGCGGCAGCCCCTGACCAGCGGGGGCACGGCCTCCACCGGGACCCCGCGCACCTCCACCGACCCCGGGAGCCGGCCCCTCACCGCCTCCGAGTCCCCACCGTCGTCGAAGACCAGAAACACTTCGAAAGACTTGCAGTCGCAGTAGGACAGGAGAAACAAGACGACGGAGGTGTGCAGGGGAAGACGCCGCTCCTCGTTAAGGGAACAAACTTCTAAGTAGAGGGAGGGATGCTGCTCCTCTGCCTCCTCTGAGTGTTCCATCGTAGACTGTCGATGCTGCTGAGTGGTACTAGAGATGTCAGTTGGCGTTGGCTTCTGTGCTGACAACATATGTATGTAAAAAAATAGCGGTTAAATCGCTTAACGCATGACACTTATAAAAACGCAACACACACCGAACCCACGTTTACTATCAGCGTTGGAACCTTCTTCTTCATCTCCTCAACAGCCGGCGCATTTCCACAGCGACATCTGCAGTTGATTTGAACATATCAAAAGTTCCATATACGGTCAAGTATGTCAAAGAGACATATAATGAATATAGATATATACAATTGTCATTCCACATAGTGAAATATGTCTAAAAGCCATATGAGTCATGTTTTTGTCAAATGTATCAACTATCTCACAACGTTCCATGAGAACAGAATCCGGACATATTTAGCGGTTGCACCGGCCGAAGGAGCGGAGGAAACGCAGTTGCTGCTCATCTGCCGCTTCCCAGTAAGTGTTGCTCAGCAATCAGTTGTTCATCCGAACGAAAATATCCGGATATCACAAATACTTTAATGAGCAGCAGAGGTTGAGGTAAGGTTACTATCTTAAAATTAGAAGCCAAAATCTTCGGTTTATCAGTGACCCCTTCAGTTAACTTTAGCCGCCGTGTCGCTGTCACAGGGCTCCGTGTTCCTGCTTTCTGTGGACAGCAGCAACCAAACCACCCCTTTGTTGACGTTGTGTGTATTGATTACAGCCTATTGATAACAAAACTTAAAGGTTTTATATATGGGGATCAACTGGAAAGCATTGAAAAAAATTAAAGAGTTCAATCTGAAAATGGGATATTACAATATGTATATTATAAGTCAGTACATACTGTACTGGACTGGGTGTAGTGGGTTTTACAAGGAATTTTGAATCAGTCTAAGCAACTGAATATTTCTTACAATCATATAACCTCAGTTTACAAAAATATTCTTTCAGTCCTGCATCTGAATTTTACTTATTTTGAATAAAGAATTCAAATAAAAATCTAAGTAGGCTATATCCACAAACTGAACATCTCCAGTGCCACTAAACTGCAGATGTTCAAATATTATTCTGAGGACAGTAGAGACCGTAGTCTATAATCTAGTGTAGTAAATGTGGGCAAAGGAAAACTAACCTGCTTTCATTTCTACAGTTTGAAGCCATGGCTGGACCTGTCAGTTTGGAGTTGGATCCCATTTTCCTCAAGGGACTGAGTTATTTGCACTCCAAAAATAAAGATTCAGCTGAAAAACTCAAAGCGCTGCTCGATGAGTCCATGGCAAGAGGCAGTGACTCATCCTACCGCTCATTACAAAAAGTAAGGAATATGTGGAGGCCCTCTGTGTTCACAGGCTGCCTTTCATATTGCTCAAATAACTTTCAGTTTCATTCGGCTGTGTTTAATCCCAACCAAACTTTATGCATCCAATTTTTTTATTTTTGAATCCTCAGGAGGTGGAAGTGTCAAAGGGGCCCGTGTCAAAACTGAGCTTAGTTAAACAAGACTCCAAGTCATCCAGTTCCTCATCTTCCAGCAGCGGAAGCAGCAAATCCAGCTCAGAGAAGAGCAAGAAAGAAGTCGAGAAGAGGCCGTCTGAAAAGGTACCGTTTGCATTTTTAAATATTGAAATTTGAATTATTCAGTGAGACAGCTGCTTTGTGTTGCTGTTTTAGGCATCAAAGAGCTCACAGGTGACTCAGAGCCAAGGCTGTGCTTTAGACTGACACGGAGTAAAGAGGCAACAAGTTGAGAATGGTCGTCAGACTCTGCAGAGAAAACAATAGTAATTAGTCAACATTAACCCCAGCATGCAGGAAAAATACAAAATGGTCGCGTTTATGACCACAAGACCATTCCTTCAATGAAAAAACTATATTTTCGTACCTATCAGCAGAGGACTCGTTAATGTTTGACGTGTGTACATATCATTGGGAATATTAGGAATTCAGAGATTTCATCCAAATGCAAACTGGATAGCTGAGATCAAACCAAACTTAATCTGATGTTGGGATAGAATCATCAGTTTGATCAATCCATACTCACTTCTTTGTGTTTTACTGAAAAACAGGTACGGGTTGAGCTCAGTGAAGTGGACCCCCCGAAAAAGCCCCGCTTGGAGAAACAGGAAAACCGATCCTCTCCGATAACCGTTCAGACAAGCAAAGACCTCCTGCCAAACATAAACGACTACGATGAGACTAATGCTGATGATTTTGCCATGGAAATGGGCCTGGCTTGTGTGGTTTGCAGGTATTGTGTTTTCTTGTTCTTTTGTGGTTCTTATGATATAAGAAAATGACACATATTCTGCTCATTTTTCAAAGTGCTAAGATGTTGACGTGTAACCGTTGTGCTTTGAACCCCTTCAGACAAATGACAGTTACAATGGGAAACCAACTGGTGGAATGCCAGGAATGTCATAATCTTTACCACCAGGACTGTCACAAGCCCCAGGTGACAGACAAAGAAGTTAACGACCCACGGCTTGTGTGGTACTGTGCCCGCTGCACCAGGCAGATGAAACGCATGGTGAGGGAAACGCTCCAGTGTCTGCACAAAACCTCCTCATGGCACCGGGCTCCTTGATGGAAAGCTGCATCAGGAGGACCTAATGGGCTCTCTGTGTAAAGCTCTCTGTGTTTTGTTTGTCCGCAAGGCCCAGAAACCTCCACAGAAGCCGTCCCCGGCGTCTGCATCTTCGGCGCCTGTCGTAAAAGACACGCTGGTGAAGAAGACGGAGCTCAAACTCAAAACGGACACCACCAGCACATTCCAAGCCTTCAAAAGGACAGAAGTGAAGGTGAGCACTGACACAATCTGCATGTTTAACGGGCCCCTTTACAAACCTGGTCCACACACATCGCCATTAGATACACTTCATGTGAGCAACTGTTCCATTTCCAAGCGAATGCGGTGTGTACTGCACTGCCGCAGTTATTCTGCATTTGCTGTCTTTGTGCAGACCCTCTGTTAAAGGCAGTCTGCATACATTCCTGTAGAGGCAGCAGGAAGCATTGATGTGTTTTCACATCATACTCTAGCACAGATCCTGTTTAGCCAAAGGAAGTGTCTTGTTTGGTCAAATCAAACCTTTTATATTTTTTAGTGGTGAATGAAGTAAACCCGAGCATATAGAAAGAAATGGCCTAAATATTTAATAGTGTTTCATGCAGATGTGGGTAAAAGGAGTTTTCTTGAAGTGTTGAGGTCAAAACAGCACTCAGGCCAAGGTGTATATGTTTTTATATTTACATTTAGGGGTAATTTACCTCTTTTGACGTGAGAAAATGTTTGCCGTTTTAGTCACCTTTCATGTTCTCCCTGTGTTTGCGTGAGTTCTCTCTGGGTTCTCCGGCTTCCTCCCACCATCTAAAAACCTGCATGTCAAGTTGACTGGACATTCCAAATTGCCCTTAGGAGTGAGTGTGAGTGTGCATGGTTGTTTTGTGTCTCTGTGTGGCCCTGCCATGGACTGGCGGACCAGCCGGGGTGTACCCCGCCTTTCGCCCATTGACTACTAGGATAAGGCTCCAGTCCCTCCTCGACCCCATTTTGGAATAAGCGGTTATAAAAATGGATGGATGGATATATATAAGTCTGGATCTTTAAACCTGGTAATTCTTTGGTGTCCTTCTCATTAACTTGGTAACTGTTTTTCATGTCCTGCAGCCACCCACCACATTAGCCAGCCCCACCATCAGCAGCTCCTCTTCTTCAAGCAGCGGCCTAACTGGCTGGGCGGCATTTGGTGCCAAAACCAGCCCATCTATTCCTGCTAGCTCCAAACTGGTTTCTTCTGGCACAAGTGGGAGCAACAAGACCTTAACAACTCCCTCTGGTCAGAAACCCGTTGGGTTGTCGGGGTTGGCTGGAGCCAAGTCAGGACTCGGAGGTGCAAAGACTTCTGGGAACAACAACGGAAACGGCTCGAGCCCAGTGACTCTGAAACCCCCCCCACCACTGACTCTGGGTAAGCAACCCCTCAACCGCTCGTCCAGCAGCGAGGGCCAGGGGAAAGGCTCCACTTCATCGGGGTCCAGCTCTCCAAGTGGCTCCCAGGCAGGTGCCGGAGGTAATGGAGGTGGGAACGGAGGAGGGAATGGAAACAATGGGAACGGGTCCAAAGCTGCACCGGGGGACAAAGCGCCGACCTCTCAGGAGTCTCAGCTTAACGCCATGAAACGATTGCAAATGGTCAAGAAGAAAGCAGCACAGAAGAAGCTAAAGAAATGAAAAATGAAACGGGTGAATTCAGTGCCAGACGTTTGTTCTTAGAGTATCTGCACATGAAGTAACACCATCGAGTCAAATACTTGAATTTTACTTTGTGTAAATGCTGCTGGACTCTGTGTGCCTCAGTCTGTCCTAAAAAAAAAAAAATCTAACCGGTGGGGAAAAAGTGTCACTTTTTATCAACTCTCATTAAAATCTCTCTTCTTATTTTCTGGCTTTGGCTGTGAGTTTGTAGCAAGTGCTGTGTTTTCATTGTGTGTCAGCGAGACAAAAAAAAGGAAGAAACACAGGAGCGTCGTGGAAGAGGTCGCCTTTATTCATTATTGAATTCGTAAAAGGTAGATCATCTTTTATATCTTCATTTCAGGATACAATTTGTATAAATCATTGCACATATATATATATATATTTACCATAAATCAGTAGACATATTACAATTCATGTCTAAATCTCTTCATAATGTACATTAGAAACACTGCGGTACAAAAAGTGCTCAGCACACAGTGCACTGTCTGTGCATGATTCTTCATTGTCCGTTACAAATTCTTATTTAAGTGCAATTTGTGAGCTCCTATTACATTCACATGAACTGTTTCAAAATTAACACTTTCAGTGCAAGATTAGATAAGCAATAACATTAACAAGCTGCACGATTTGATATCAACGGAGGAGAAGCGTGGTAATTTTCGTCGCACACACGGTGGGTGATGCTATGTATGTAGAAATGCTGTGTGGAAGAAGAAAAGAAGTTCCCCAAAGCTCACAGTATGTTATTAAAAGACAGGTTGATGTTAACACACACATGAACATTATCCTGTAACTCTTTTTTTAAAAATATATATGTACATATTTAGATCCTGTAACTCTTAAAAAAACAATGTGTATATATATATATATATATATATATATATGCATACTTCTTCTCTATACTTCTGTAAACTCCCCAAAAATATCCTACATTTAGAATTTCTTGACTGTTCTGTCAAATATTAAAACTATACTTTTTTTCAAAGTGGAAATGGTATCAAGCAGTAAATAATACTTCTTTTTTTAAACTTTTAAACTCTTTTCTTTTTTTCTTCTTCTTTTTTCTTCTTAGGATGAAATTGTATTCAATAAGACTCTGTTTAAGCATAGGACATTCTGCCAAGGTAGTTGGCAGGAACATAACCCTTTTGTCCGTTAGCCTCTGCCAGCCACCATTCCTTATTACCTCCCAGGTCACAAAACTTGAGGATGCGGACATGCTGGTACTCCTGCAAGGTCAGTTCCTGGTCACAGCGAGCTTGAAACCCATATACTGCATAGAACTGTAAGAGAAAAACACCATTGTGTGGTTAACTTTTCACTTTTAACACCCAAACAAATACAAGAGACAGTCTATTATCCTGTAAATCCAGAGGGTGGCAGTGTTGATCAGCTGTCTACAGGGACAAACCCACACACTGCCCTATGAATTCTAAAACTAGTACCTAAGAAGTAGCTGAAAGCACGAATTCAAGCAGAGGAAAGCCTGGTGCTGCAGCAGGGTGAGGAACCATCACTGTGCAATGTTAGTTCAGTTACTTCATCTACACACACACTGGACAGGTTGTGAGAAGTTTTCAAATGTAAGATTGCACGCTGATCCATCCTCTGCAGTTCTAGTCTTTTGAGCTCAGACACTCTTGAAAATGTATCTTTTATGGACAAGCAAACACATCTGGCTCTTTACACTCATTTAAGGTAGTTTCGCTAAACCTATAGTTGATGGAATTTATGACCTTGGCTGGTGGAGTTTCAGATTGCATTTGGACTTTTTTCAGGGATTTGCACCTGAAAATGCTTATGCTTACAAAACTGTTTAAGGAAAATTGAGTATCCTAAAATTCTACACTTCTGGTAAACAAACAACTGCAATAAATGCACGCAGTGTAGTGCCACACACACACACGAACACACACACACCTGCTGAGCTTCAGTGTCCGCCGAGTCCTCCAGGTCTTCGGCACTCTCCAGCTCCCCCTGCAGACCGGAGAGGGTCGAGCTGCTGTCCGTGGTGTTGAGGTTGAAGCTCCGAAGGCTGCTGCTGCCACTTCCCGACACAAACAGGCTCAAGTCATCAAAGTCCTCGTCCACCATGACAGGCGGCTGCTGCTGCTGTTGCTGCTCTTTGGCTTTATGGGCTGCTCTCTGCGAGTCCCTCAGAGGGTTGTACGGCTTTAGGAATGTGGAGTACACATAGCCTTGTGCGCCTAGTAGAAGCACAGATGCAAAAGTGTTTTTGAAGATTTCACTCACCCACATCACATGTCACCAATTGTACACTTTTTTACATCTGGCCATGAAGATTGCTTACATAACTTGTTTCTTGGGGAACCAAATGTGAAAATACTGGCTTGGGGCCTATCCCAGCTGACACTGGGCGAGAGGTGGGGTACACACTGAACCGGTCGCCTGTCCATGACGGCGCCACACAGAGACAAACAACCAGACACATTCAAATACACTTTCTGTAGCATCTTAGAGTGTTCAATTGACCTAAAATGCATGTGTTTGGACAGTGGGATGAAGCCGGAGTACCCGGAGGGAACCTAAAAAGACACGGGGGAGAAGACGCAACTCCACACAGAAATGCCCCCAGTTCCCCGGGGATTCAAACCTGTATGGCCACGGTGCCAACCACCACACCACCGTGCCGCCCATCCTGGGTATTATGTTGTTGATATGCAAAAGCCCTAAAGTTGGTTTAACTTCTGTAGAATTAATTTGTGCTTAAGAGATCGGACTTCAAAGCTCTTAGCAACTCATTAGACTCTAGAATATCTGAACTGACAACCATAAATCTAGTTAGACTGACCCTATGAAGAATTTATAAATATGAGGTAGGCATATTCATGGTGTTGGTTCCAAAAACAGCATGTAAATGTTTGCAATCTTAGATGAAAAGACAAGTCTGTGAAAAATGTACCTTAGACCAAGGGAACGTACAATCTTTGTAGTTTTCATAATAAGAAACGTTGTTTTCGCTGAGAACATAGAACAGCCCAACGTCTCTCCATAACTTATGTGAATATCCAGAGGGAGATGTTTTGTACTCTAGGAAATGTTGGTGACAACGTGCAGGGATTGTTCCAGGATAGCATTGGGATTTCGGCTGCCTCTGTGCGGCGTAACAGCAATATGGAGACAAACTATTGCGTCGGCTCTGTTGTGAGGCAACCATCTCCAGAGGCACCAGCAACCATGACTCCACAGGAGCCTCTGGCACCAACTCTTGCATGCTGACTTGTTAGAAAGTGAGGTTGGTGTGTGAATAGGCCCTGAGTCACCTGAAACATGCAGGTTCACTCACAGAGGAATGTGCATGAGGTGTGACCTACTGTAGACTAGTGACACATGCAGCTAGTCCTTAGCCTAATTCCCCTTGTAATAGTAGGAGATTGTTCCCTTTGTTTGATTAATCTCCTCCCGAAATAAACGTATAAACTAACACACGTACGCACACTTACCTCCGGTGTGAACCAGCCAGCGGCTGTTGCTGCCTAATGGGTCTGTGTCCTCCAGCAGGGCAACCAGCTCTCCTTCCAGCAGGCTGAGGTCCTGCTCCTGGCAGCCATTACACTTCCTCTTTAGCTGGTACAAGCGGCCCACTGGATATTCAGCCAGCAGCCAGACACGCTGCTCCTCAGTCTGATGCTGAACCTCCGGCACCTGAAGGACAGAAAAGCAAAAAGATGTGATGGTGTAAATATTGGAGCTGGGTGAAAGCTGGGAATAGAGCTGTTATTAGTAATCAGGGCATGAGGGTAGAATGCAAATCGGTGACCTAAGAAGACCCTTTCGGCACCAGCTTCAAACAGATCTATTCTAGCATCGCAGAGCTTAGCCTGGAGCAATTGCCTGTGTTTGGGTGAGCTAGTATTTCAAAATGGTTTATAGATCCAGGTGACCAAGGACTGAAATTGTGCATGTTTGATGTTCATTAATGATGCATTCAGGTCTATGAAATTGAAATAAGCTACTGTATGACATTTTTTGAACTCTTACCGCTACTTTCTTGTCGCGTTGTCTCTCAAAGCTGACTTTCCGTTCCATTAACTTCTGCGCATTGTCCTTCACAAATGTCAAATTGTTCAGCTCATCCATGATGCTGTTCTGCACTTCATTGATGTTCGACAGTGGAACCTGAACAGGTAAAAAAAACAATAAATGTCAGATTTTATGAAAAAGAAGAAAAACTACTTTTCTTTTTTTAATAATGATTTATAAGAGGAATCCTCACGGGTAGCTGCTGAACGGAGGGAGCACCAACCAATGCATTTCCCATCAACCCTCTGAGCAGGGCTACGAAACATATCACACTGTTCTTCAGGACACTATATGCAGCCATGTTGAACCTCTGCAACTCTTCCACCAGCAAAGCATTAATAGCCTCATAGTCTCTTTTGGCCGGACCAGGGGGCTCGACAGAGGGCAGGGAAGGGGACGTAGTAGTGCCGGATGATGAGGAGGAATAAGAAGACGAGCGCTCAAGGCGGCAGCAGTAATCCAGAAGTTTGTCGTAGCGCTTCTGGATGAGCTTCTGTGGGGCTGTGAACATGACCTGCAGGGAGGAAAGCGGGGCCAAGACCAAAGACTCCATTTTGTCTTTCTGGGGAGAAAAAGTCAAAATGGGCAAAAAATTAAGGGTGATCTTCCATATGTTTCATTATGTGCCATGTACACTGTCAGCATTTAAAGCAGGGGCGTCCAACGAGGACCAATATGACATTTTCTGTATCCAAAGCACAGAAAACATTGAAATTCAGGTGGAACACAAAACAAGAGCAGCCTGGTTTACCAGCATCTTCCAAAAAACAGGGAACTGTCACGACTTACAAATATCTATATGTGTTTTTAACCTGTTTTTTTTTAGCATCTTATTACTTTGACAGGGGACAGATTATTAATTTGGTAACATGGCTGTGCTGTTAGCACGGCACTGAGGTTTGATAATCTTCATAAAATGAGTTGCATTTTGCTGAGGCAACAATGTTCCTGAACATAAAAGACCTAAAGTATTCCATAACGATCAGTTCTAATTTTAGCAAAAGATTCTTAGAGCTTGGAAAAAAGCACACAGGAGACATCATCGAAATTCCACGCTGGATTCAAACTGGAACAGCACAGAAGCCCTCAGGGAGCTCTGTATGACTGAAAACCATCAGTGTTGGGAATACAGTACTCAGAGGGAGAGAAGAGGTTAGAAGAACATGACAAGGTTACAGCCTGATGCAACAAAAAGATTAAAGGCGCAGAAGAAGAGGATTGAAGAGAAGACAGGTAGCTGTCAGCAAATTGGCAGAAGACTCATAGTTAGAGGATGAATTGGAGGTCGGGCAGGATTAAAAGGATAAAGAAGGGCAGATACAAATGCAGAAGATAATTCAGGAAGAGGAAGGAATACACTTAAGCTCAACCCCCGAAAAAGATGTGCACAGAAATAAAACTGATGTGTTTCACAAAAAGTGACAAAGTTATACTTACAAAGTGCTTGTAAGGATCATTTCCATTATGATGAGAAAAACCATTTGTATCATTTTTATTGGAATCTTTGATGATGTTTCCCAAGTCTTTCACATCTGAAATGGACACAGACACCATCTCCTGCAGAAAAAAGTATCACTGATCACTTTCTGTAGTTCATCATGCTGATATCCAGCCTCAAACCCAACGTTCGATTTGATTTGAAAATCAGATTTTGAAACTCAAATTCATTCGGAAATGTCTGGGCCTGAATCAGAACCCGATTAAAAGACTGGATGCCATAAACTGCAGGAACACAGATATGTAACATAACTCTGCATAACAAATTATTTCTACATTTCTGATTCCACAAACACACAGTGTTCATTTATTAGTTTGATATCGTTTGATTTATGGACGACACATTCTAGGCAGGGAAAGGCATATCCATACAAGTATCAATACCAAGGTGAGCTTCAGTGCCGGATCCATACTTCTGCTGCTGCAGTTTTTAGTCTATATGGGCAGCATATTACTCAAATGTTGTAACAGAGTTCATGCCAGAGGCTCCTCGGCAACTCAGACTGGCACAACTCTACCACAAAATACCCAGTCGTGCCCAACCCGAATGCCAGGGCTTTCTCAAATGTTTAAGCAAGTAATTTCTTACATTTGATATCAGCACAAGTTACCACAGCAGTATATTTGACTGAACTGAGAAAACTAACACAAAAAACACAGATTTTGCAGAACTGACCTGAGTATCCTGGATGTAGAATTGCACATTCTTGACCATTTGCCTCACAGCTTTCTCCAGACTCCGGAACAGCTTCTCCTCTCTATCAAACACTTCATCTCTCACCTACAGAAACAATTGCTGAATCTTAAATATTGTCAGAGGATTTACTCATATACTAACTGATCTTAAAAATCCTATAATGCTAATGTAGAGTGATCAGTGATCAATACAGCAACTTACCTGTGGCTCAACACCAGTGAGGATCTTGAGATAACCAGCAAACCTGTCCCCTTTCTTCCGAATAGAGTGGATGTTCAACTTGTTCAGTTTGCCCCTTAAAGTGCCTTCATCTTCAATCCTCTTGTACTTCATCACTGGGGATCAACAAGAATGTGGGGTCAAAATGGAATGAGCTGGTTGTTGCTAAACATATTATTTGCCCCGGACAAAACACCAAAGCAATGACATCCTACCTATATCTTTGCGCCTCTTGAACTCGTTGATGTTAACGTTTATGATCTTGGCGGCGGTCAAAGCCTCCTGCAGAGGCTGATGGTCTGGGTGATCTTCAGGAGTTGCCTGCCACAACTCTCCGAGCAGCAACGGATACTTCATGATCCTCTGGACAGGTTTTATAAGCAGTGAGCCCATATCCAGCAGATTAGCTTTTCCTCTGTGTAAGCAAATATGTTCTTAAGTAAACAATGATCAACATAAGGAACAGGACATCCTGACAAAAATTCTTTAAAAGCACTCTTACTTACTCTTGGTCGTAGATTTTCCTGTGATTGTAAGTGCAGAAAAAATGAGATGAAAGGCAGACAGTGAGTATTTTTTAGTGCGGTGAGAAGTCTTTGAAAAAGGTGATATGACTTACTTCAGCTCTAATACACACGCAGTAAATTCTTGCTTTATTTGTTCATCTCTCTCGTAGGATTTGAGCGACATGTTGGCATCATCGTGGTGGTAACAATAAACCTTATACACATCTTCCAAAGTCGCCTTTGCCTGGATGAATACGTCCCCTTAAAGTACAGGCAGGACATGAGACCATTTGTTTACAACAACAGCAGCGGTGAATAGTCACTTAGAAAAAGAAAAGAAATGAAAGTTCAAAACTTCTAAATGTCCGCACCTATGACAACCGCTTCCGGGTCAGGATCAGCCATGGCCTGCCGCAGTCTGTGAAGGAGGGCCGCAGACACCTCACACAGCGTCTCCATGTTGGTGAACATTCGATCTACCTCCACAACCTGACAAAAGAGGAATTGTGCGTCAATTAAATGAGAAACGTATCCACTACGGTTTTTCCAAAAAGGAAAAAATAAAAAGATGGAGTGGTCCTCACTGTGCATTACTGTTCAGAATTTACAGTTAAATATGAGAAATAAGCAGAATATGAAAAACAAACTACTCTCAGTGATTCAGTTGTTTTTTGCTAACTTTAGCAAGAATAATTAGAAGTATTTTTTTATTTCAGTTATTATAGTCTAAGGGCTGCCACATCATTTTTGCCCACACTTTACTGTTTGGTTTCAGCATGAGATTTACAGACACTGCTCTGTGTCATAGCCTGTCTTTGCAAATGCATTGATCCTTTTAATTTTCCAGTCTTTCTGATATTGGCTTGCTTGCTAGTTGTTTCTCGGAGATCATCACTGATCTTTCCTCCTTGAGGTGTTTACCTGCAAATTCCGCAGAGGCTGGACCACTTCCCTGATGCACAGCTCCAAGTCGGTGAGGTAGTCCTTTTCAGTCTGCACAAGCTCCTTCATGACCTTTGCCCTGCGGTTCATCTTTCTCAAACGGATCTCCTCTGGTTCGAGCACTGGCGAGGGCAGTGTGTGGAGGTCATGTGGCATCAGTTTTTCTGAAAGGAAACAAAAGTGCTTTTGAGGATGGAAAAATGCTTAATCCTGCTGTGTTGGCAATGTCCACTATAGGACTGCTCAAAGACTCTTTTTTTTTTTTTTTTGACAACATTTTGAACATTTGTAGCATTTTTGCCTTTTTTCTAGAATCTCGACATTCACTTCTGCCCTCAAATATCCATCATGTCTACCATCTGCTGGACACCTGTGCAGTACTCAGCGATGTAATTATTTTTCAACCAAATGCTAAAAAGCTTTATTTAACACACCAGTCACACTCACTTTCTCTCTTCCTCTCTTTTTTTCCTTCTTTTTTTTATTGCTGCCTAATCAGTAAGTGGCTGCTCTGTGCTTTGCATGACAGGCGTGACCGTGCAGCGAGGAGGGATGCTTCCCTGCCCCCTAATCGATGCCAAGCACCGTTTCCTCCTCCCGGGAGGGGAGAGCAATGAAGAGCAGAGATAGAGGTGAAGGAAGTGGCACACAAGGTTGCGAAGCTCGTGTCAGGTTACGAAACTAATCATACTGCTGATGCAATTCCACTGTGTGCTCAGGCATTCCATCTGCTCACACTGTGTGTGTGTGTGAGAGATGCACACACACTCGTACAAACCCAAAGAGACGCACACACTGACATTGACATACACAGTATGAGCACCCAAACTGTCCCATGCACATGTGCAAACATATTTCTACTCCTCGTGCTTCAGATTACACGTTTTACACACATAGAAGCACAGACCAACAGCAAATGTGCATACGATTAAAACAAAAAAACCTGCCCCGGTGTGCATACAAGCACCATCAGCAAAGTGACATGGCATACATATCATTAATTTGACCCATTATCTTACTTTGTTGTATTATTACTGGGTTCAGAAAGATCTTATTTATTTTCATTCACTGTTGGTACAATTCATCACCTTTCATTGCCTAATTTTATGTTGATAAAGCTTAGTAGGATGGCTCATATGATCATGGCCAGTAGTGTTTTTTGAGTAATATGAGGAAATGACAGACTTTATGTAAATATGTGACAGCTGTAAGAGTGATCCGATCTCACTCTTCAGCCACATCCTGCTGTTATAAGATAGTTTTTTTTCAATTTCAAAAACTTCTAAGTTACTGAAAACAGCGTAAAAACATTTAAAAAGAAAAAATACATCCTGTTCTACAAGATGTTGTAAAACAAAACAAAAGCTATCCCATCCTGGTCATATTCATGAATGTATCACTGGACAGTAAACCATAGCATCAATCATTTTGATAGATGTTTGATTTTATTTTTTTCTAAACTCTTTCAACTGACTTCTGAAAGTAGTCTAATTAGATATATACCATCTTGACCACGTGTAACTCTATTGCAATCTCCTCTCTTGTGGACACCCACTCTGATCTATTTTCAGGAGGAGACCCCATGGCTCCTGAATAACATAACGATGTCTGACATTTGCATCACTTTTGTCTTGGCCCTAAAAAGCCTGGTATGGTCTAAAACCACAGTGAAATGCTGTAAGCCCTGCTCCAAGTTTTTTTGCATTTAACCATTGTAACCCAGTGGAAATACATTTCAGATACACTAAGAACACATTATTTCATATCATTAGCTATCACAACCATCTATGACTGTAAAAGAGATATTGATGAACTAGCAGAGATGTTTTCTAGACATATTTCATTCTACAAGGGTATCATGAAGTGTCATGTTTCAACTTTAGCTGACTGAGTGTAAAAGACCCCAGAATGTCTGAAAACCTCTACTCGTGAGAAAGGTCTTCTTAATGACAGTGGGTGAGGCTGTTTAATGTTTGTTGAGCAAAGGTTGCTTTCTATTTCTAACCTGATGCTGGATCTTTTCCTATATATTTTTGTCACATTTCCCCCAATGGCTTATCATTTCATACAGAAATGACATACCAGTGGTCGAAAAGACACTGACTTCTCTGTAACACCATAAGACTCCACAGCACATTTTAAATCGTACTGACTTGACCTTTTGCAGGCATTATGTTTGGTGGGCTATGGCTACTGGCGTAGGAGTTCCCATGAAAGTGGATACAGGGCTTTTTACCACTCAGCCCAATGAAAGCTATCCAAAGGACTGCCCCGGAAAGAATACAAAGCATTGTGGATCAAGTGGCACCATGAAGAAAAATGACGTGTCAGACTTTGACACATTGAGAATAATAGCAGTTTTGAAATAAGAATGTTATGTTAAACTGAAAGCTATACCTTTTGATAGAAAACATAAATAATCTTATACATAAAAACTTTCTGGTAAAAGTTAAACTTTTGTATTTTACTAATTATTCATAAATTATAAGTTAAAAAAAGTTTCTGTAATCAGAGAGTTGATAAAAACCTGACAACCCACAGCAAAGTAACATTTAACATGTGTGATTTGTTGATAAATATGTTCCTTTATGTGGCTTATGTGCTGGTAAATCATTGTCTCAACTATGATATCTAGTTCCTGTAGATTATTAGACATACTGATGTCATGTTGCCATGGTTCTACGACTTGACAAACCTGTCTGACAACCAGATGAGAACAGTGTGTCGACCAGCAACTCACATGTTTCCTCTTTCAGTGAAGTCATCATTCTGTCAATATTTGCATTGGTAACACCACTGTAAATATGTAATGCTGATCTTCAGGTGTGAGGCTAAAGACAAAGGGGGCGGGGTAAGGGGTTTACTGAAAACAATCCTGTTTTTTTTTTAACTTTGCCAGTCATAATGCAGGTTGGACAAGAAAATAGAAAGTGCAAGGGAGTAGAGAGTGGCTTTTTTCAGGTAAACAGAACTGTTCCTGATAATGCAGGTGTTTGAATGAGCAAGACTAGGTAAAAATGGGTTAATTTGCTGTTTTAAGTATGCCGGTGGCCACTGGTTATTTTGGCACATGGTGTGTATTATCCAGATAAGAGGAAACTAAAAAACAGGTGGTGCAGGAAACCCAACATGCCAAGTGCACTCACACTTGGACGGTGAGCTTGCTCTGACAGCTGATGTCATTTTGCCTGAAGTGCAGCATTCCCCGCCACTGACTGCACTTGAGGACAGGTGGAGCCAGTTTTTTTCTGAAATATGCATTTGTGTAAATGTGAAAAGGCTGTGTCAGCAGTTGTGATGAGGCATTAGTCCTTAAAAAATGTATTTGTTTTCCCATTTCTGTCAGTTTGGCTCCACTTTTCACAGTCGATCACCATAATGTATTAATTCCATTTTCTATTTTGTGGCCAAAGGGTTTAGTCACCGTGAAGGAAACCGTAGGACATATGTCTTATCATGTGCTTTAAAAAAACAACCTCGAAGTCTCTCTCCCCACACTGCTGCTGTCTAGGTCTTGTTTACCTACTGGTCCGGAACATTTCAAAAGCCACTCCTCTGTGCCCGAGTTTGGGGCACAGTTTGCATATGTGGCTTCGTCCCTGAGGGAGTATCTTGCTCCATGCATAGTAACACAACAGGTGCCCGGTACAGAGCAGTGTACTTACTTATTCTTACTGTGTTTCTTGTGTATTTTCCCTCAAGACACTGATTCTACTCTCGCAGGTTATCAAACATGAATGTACAATTTGTCCAAAAGTTCTCCAAACCATTGAGTTATCAACAGGTTTGCAAAGAAAAATGAATCATTTGCCATACTTTTGAGCCCAGGGAATTGATTAGCTGTGTTACCTTTAAGTTTAGCACTGTACTCCGTCTTGTCAGACTGACTTCTCCGCACCAGAGTCCCCAGGTTGATGTCACCTTTAGCCATGTCATCGGCAACAATAGTGTCTGTCTTTCTTCTCTCCAGGTAACGCAGGAACACAGGCCTGTTTCTCCTTTTTATTACTTTCTCCTTGTCTTTTTCCTTTTCCTTCTCACTCCCGCCGGCCTCCTTCGGATCCATGGTGAAGCCGTCAGCTCCCCAGTGCTCCCAGAGCTGTGAAGGAGAAAAGAAGGGAGGAAACAGAGAGCCTGGGAAGTACAACAGGTGTACTGTTCTCTGTGCCCTGACTGCCAGCTCTGCACAGGTAACCCGGCCCCTCCCTCATCTACCTATCATGAGGGCAGCCTGGCCACACCTCTTCACCGCTGCACTAGGCTTTCTTCCCCTTAGGCCATCACATCTACTCATGTAGAGGAAGCCACGCAGCTGAAGTGATCTTTCTGCATCTAAACTTCAAATGAATATTCTTTCAACAAAATGCATATTTCACATTGAGAATGTACCAAAAATATGATCACAGAGTAAAGGGAAGCTGCTATGTAAATGGCCCAGAAAAAAATTAAACACCATTATTATACCAGTGTGAAGAAGTGTTGTTTTTTTTAATCATATTATGTATGACTAACTGAATCAAATGTAGTTGGAAAAGAGATCATGAGGGTACTGTTACCTCAGTTGACTCGTTGTATTTCGATGTCCAGGTAAACAGTCCTCCAGTAAGGTTTTCAAACCAGTTCACCAGTTTGATGTTTGGACACATCCACTCTTGGAAAATAAGCGGAAAAGTGTGTCCAAACTTTTGCCTGGTGCAATAGCTATGGACGCACAGACATATATATTTAGTATTATTGCATGCCGTCATCATCATAATAATCAATTTGCCTTGCATCTTCCTTCTGTAGAAGTCACTCATCTACCTTCAGAGTATGCCAGGTACTCATGAGATACTTATGTTAACACCTCATGGACACTTATCTTGTTTTCAGCCGGAGGCTGCAGACATTAATGTATGTGATGGCAGTGATTTCTCCCTGAAACCCCTTGATGATGCTGTAACGTTACATGGTACATGACTCCCTTGTGTTTACTCCTTGGCAGCAACCGCCGGTTGGCTTTTTATGCCTCCTCGGGCAGTCCTTTCGAGTGCTGATGAAGACCTGGAACCCCTTGGTTATGCAAAAGCTTTACTGGGTCCAGCAGCCAGGCCAGAATGCTTCTGATGAAGGGTCGCAGTTCTATTCATCAAGATATTTCAGTTAGATAGACATGTTTAAATGTATGTTTTAAAGTTTGTTCTCCCACTCCCACTTAAATCTTTTTCTCAAATTATGTGTTTCCCTCCTAACACAGGCTAACACAGTGTGTGCTATAAGAAGAGTGAACTATTTACCCAGTTCTGGGTTGAGGACACTAGCAACAACGGCAGTCACAATGTAATGTGAGCCAACTTGAAAAGGCCAGAAAGACAAAGTCTAGGTGTGAACTGCAATAGACATGATCAAAATGACTTGTGATTTGTTTGAGGACAAGCTTATCTTTATGTACTCACCGTGCCTGGCTGTTTACAGGGATGGCTTTGTTGAGTACCTTTTACATTTTTCAAAGAATCCAACCAGTGACACAAAGCAAACAATACCATCGGAACAGAATGTCCCCATGGAGTGTTTGCTTATGCAGGTTCAAACAAACTATACGTGCTCCAAGAATATGCAAACTAGCGACTGTGAGGGAAGCTGCGTGTGAATTGTATAGAGGGTGTCTTGGAAAGCAATGTTTGCATTGTGAACAGAACTTCACGCTAGTGACAAAAGTCTTTTTGTTGAACTGTTGTCACAGTTCGAATATCTATAAAGATATCCAATGTACAGTTTATTAAAGGAAACATTTAAGGATGCTGTCATCTATGACATGGCAACACATGGGAGCTCATTGCAGAAGCAACACTTTGTAGGTTGTATATGGTCAAATGGTACAGCAGGTTACTATGTGTATATATACTACCAGGAAAAATGATTGTTCTGACCATAACTGCTGCTCTCTGGCAGGTTCATAATAATAGAGCTATATAAAAATTGGCACTAGTAGAAAATGAACTGATTCCAAAAACCACAAAAAAAGCAGGCTGTCTCCCACAAACTAATCAAAGCTCCCAGTGACTGTGTCAAAGAAAATGATAACCCAGCTTTATTTTTCCATGATAAACCTGTTTTTTATGGCTGCTTTGTGTATCTTTTGTTTGAACATTGCCCTGCATTAAAAGAGACATATATAGTGAATGAACTGGTGTTTGTTCATGGCACAATGGAGGCATATGGACTTTGATCTTGTGTTGTACAGAGATTAACACCAAAGGGAAAGACATAAAATTAGGGGTGGGGGTAGGGGTGTAAAGTATGTTTAGGATGCTTCAAAGTGGGATTTCAAATTGAAGCTTATCTAAAGCATTTTCTTTTGTTGGACAAATACAACTTTAAGACTTTCGTTTAACTATTAATGATGGATGTGATCTGATAATACATTTATAATCAGCAGGTCCTTTTGTGATTGTGTTTATTCATAATTTCTTATGTTAACAGTTTTATCGTGAAAATACTCCGAGGTGAAACAAAACAATTGAAGCTAGGTGGCAGTAAAACTATTTGGCTGTACATGCTCTACGCATAGAAGCCATATAACTATAAAGGTTTCATTCAACCTACAGCTTCCGGTGAAAACAGTATTTATTTTCAAAATAAAGACCCAACATTTCGAAGATGGAAACCTGCTGATTCCTGTATAGTCTGGAATCTTAAATGCAGAGTGAGGTTTCGTTCTCTTAGATGTGGCCACTATACAAAGTTGTTGTCAAAAGACACTTCAGTCTCAGAAGTTGGTTCACTTTACAACTAAACTTTTTTGTTAATTGAGAACATGCTTGCAGGTATTTTTTTAACCTTAAATTATAGATTAAAGTTGCAACCACCTAGACATATATTAGATGGGACCATTTTAAAATCAGGAGACAGAGAAGTGATTCATCTCAATTTACAAAGGAAAACATCCATAGAGGTTTATAAAAGAAAAGATGTATTAAAAAAAAACACCCCAAAACCAAAAAATTACGCACATGATCAAATATCTAATATGAGAAACGAAAGTTATAAACGTCAGGCCTGAAGAATAATGAGCAATTTTAGTGACATCAAGGTCAAGCGATGAAAAATGTTCAACAATTAATCTAATAGTTTTCAGGTTTCCAGGTTACTTGCTTTTCTAAATTCCAGTGTATCTTGAACTAATTTGACTAGTCATTCGACCGTCACAATTCCTCTGAGCACCTCTTTGTACTTTCATGGATCCAAAAGATGTCAAAGGGATAGTAGCCCTACGGTCTGGCAGTCATATCTGTAGTTTGTCCATTTCCGCCTTGGTGACATGGGTGTACCTTTCAGGGGTTTCTAAAAGTACAAATTTGTACCTTGGGGTCTAGTTATTAGCCTTAAGGTCCATTGTTTGGAAAGTACATCATGAGACATGCATGCTATCCTATTGTCCCACTTTTTTTGACAGTATGTATTTTTCTCATAATTTAGATGGCTGTGGAACTGTAAAATTCCAAATGAAACTCAAAATTGCCCAAAATATGTTAAAATGGAAGTATCTTAATAGTAAATATAAAATCGAAGGCTTTTTGCCTTACTGTTGCAGTTTAAGTAAAGTTTTTTTGACCTGAGTGCTATCATCCCTCTGTGTTTAGCTCCTCCAAAACAGACATACTTAAGATAATAAAGCCTTGGACATTCCTCTCAAATAACTGTTGTACTTTGCATCTTTACCTTTAGTCAGTCTGCATACCAAGCAGGCTCTGTCAGGCAACCTGGTTTTGATTTGTAACCTCTGTAATATTATGTATGGGTGCTCTCAAACAAATTATTGAAGATTACAGGTACGTATTTAGAAAATTAAGTGTATAGCAAGTATAACTAGGTCATACTGTGTAAACGTGTTGTCAGTCACACATAACGTGGACGGTTGGCATTCATCTTATGTTGAAAGGTGGTGACCGGAAGCTGTAGTTTCTCCTTGATGGACGTGAAGGAGGACGGGAAACAGGAACTAAGTGAGGATGAAAGTGTGTATAATGAGACCGTTGTTTCTGCGCCCCTCGCTTTGCAGCTTGGTAACAGTGTTCAGCCCATTTCCCGCTTCCTTCAATAAAGTCCTCACACGAGCAGCAACTGTTCCACATCAGCTTTATTTGAGAAAAACGATGCATTATCAAACGGAGCAGAGAGGACACCCGCACTCTTCCGACTACCGCATATATTTTAGTAAGTTCATTGCTCGCAAATGTGGAACCAACGAATGTATTCCTCAGTCTGCGTCAAAAAGGTGATAACTGGACAGCGTCTGACAAGCACACACCACCTGACATGCAGGCTAATGGTAGCCGTTAACCTTTAAAACCTCAGTGGTTTGTTAAATGGAGGGGAAATGGTCATTTTAGTTACCACAGCCACTCAAGTGGGTACAGTTCAGAAAAACTGGACTACAGCAATAATTGTAAAAGACTTTTGAAACAGGACAGCTAGGAGGTACACTATCCTCACGAGGTTACTTCCTCTGTGGCAGTCACGTGGTTTCCTACAAACGTTTTCCTTTCAGGCAGCTGGAGGGTTTCATTATTCATATAAAGTTTATTTGATTAATGTGTGACGCACATGGATTTCATTGTGTGTGTAGCTTGCTGAGCATAATTTGATGGATGAAACCTTTTTTTTTTTTAAAGATTTTTTAAACCTCATGGTCTTTCCCATAAGGTAAAGACTAAGTGATGTGGGTAAAAGGCCTTTAGAAACATTAAAATTAAATGGGTTTTCTTATGTGCGGTGTAATTAATTTCACTTCTGTAAATGGTGTTTGGTTGAGTGATGTTTTTCTTGTGTTTTAGAAACGGCTGAAGGGAAGTACATTTCTCCATTCCACGATATTCCTCTCCGAGCAGACGCAGAACAAGTAATTCTTTGACACCACAGCTTTTAGTTTCTGCTTAAATCTCAGTATTACGGCAGGATTTACCAGGGTTTCATTTCTCCTTGTTTTTTAGGATAATGATGTGCCGGCTAAAAAACCCAAGACAGAGAATGAGGTGTTGTGTGAATTAAAGTCATTCCAAGGATTTTGGTCTAATTGGGTGCCTGAAAATGTTGAAGCCAGTAAATGCTGAATTAGGTTGTCCTGTTTAATTTCAGGTGCTTTACAACATGGTGGTTGAAGTACCTCGGTGGTCAAATGCTAAAATGGAGGTAGGTAAAAAACAAACAAAACTGACATATTCATCTGGGCAGGCTGTATCCATCCTTACATTTTAGATAAGTTAATAAAAATGAAACCTTCCACTAGTACTTTGACTTCTGCTTTTTCGTGAGTGTTTTTTTGTATTTCATTGTTTATTTATAAATTGTGTTGATGCACATGCACCTGAATGGTGAGTTGCATCATACCTTTTTCAGATGGTGTTTGACGTTTTATGTACAAACTGCATATTATAGAGATTCACTAACAGTGTTTTTAATCATTAGTAAAATATTTGTTATGGTGCCAATGCCATGTGTAATCCACAGCACAATACAACCATTTTCAGCTCATAAAAACAAATGGCAAAATGTCATCAGTGTTTATCAGTTTTATGTTTATAAAGCAAAGGCCATTCAATGTCTGCCCCAAAATATTGTATATTCTTTACAAGTCTACATCTTAGGCCTTGAATCTGCTTTGCAGTCATCCGTTTGGCATTGGCATCAGAGCCAGCAACTGAAAGAAAGCAAACCAGCTGATAAAGGTGGCTGACTCTGTGCTGGTGCCTTGGAGCTGATTGTTGAGAGAACAGTGCTGCACAAGTTGATTAACATAACGAGGAACATTAAACATTGAATCAAAACAAGAGTTTTTAGCTTGGCTGCGAAAAAAGAGAGATGCAAGAGGTTCTTCCTGCCAGCACTAATACATACTCATAATGAAATCTTGTAATGATTGCATTAAGACAAAGATGTGCAACAATATAATTTCCCTTTGAATATATAGTTATTTTTATGTGAGAGGACTAGAGCTACAATAACAATGTTCTGATTGTTCTTGTTGATTTTTTAACATTCAAATCTATCATTTGAATTATGCCATCAGTAAAGTAAAGGAATGCAGGCAGAACTTTTTTGGTTACACTCAGATTCAGCAGTGTCTCACTCACTGATGCACTCTTGAAATGGCTCTAACTGATTTTTCATTCCTGCTACAGAACACGATGTTGCATTTTTCTCTTTAGTGGTCATGTGATCGGAAAACTGTCTTTCAAATCGGCCGCATGAATGCCGCAAAAGCACCAAAAAATGTCACGGATGTTTGTAATTTCTGAAATATGCAGATTGCAACAAAGGAAACACTGAATCCTATCAAGCAAGACATGAAGAAAGGAAAGCTCAGATACGTCGCCAACATTTTCCCCCATAAAGGTTACATCTGGAATTATGGAGCACTCCCACAGGTGAGGAACATTAACAATACTTTAAATGAGTGAACGGCCTCAGTTTTTTAAACCTTGGTTTTATTTTATTTATTTATTTATTTTTACATGTAGCACTGGAATGATCCCTTATCCAGGAATGAATGACAACCTACCATACTTTGATATGAGATCAGTTTTTAGGAGAAAGATGAACCGTGCCATTAAACAGCAGTTTGATTATTATTTTGACTTTTGCACAATCCCGATGTCCATCATTTTTGTTTTTTCTTTATTTAATCCTTGCCCTTTATCCTTGAATAATTTTTGTTGTTGTTAAAGCAGATACAGTCCTTTAAAATCCACTGAAGGCCTGTGCTCACTGTAGAGTAATCTCATATATTATGTCTGACATTCATTGTTTTGTTCTTTATGTTCACTTTTCTCAGAAATAGGGATGTTAACTGTGGTTGCGTGTCCTTGTTCCTCAGTGGGTTTCTGTGTGTTTCACAGTGTATTTTGGCATTTAATTATCTGTTAAATGTTTGAGAGAAATCTTTCATTTCTAACAATCTTTTAAACTGTCTCTTGGTCCAGACATGGGAAGACCCAAACCACAAAGACAAAGAAACCAGCTGCTGTGGTGACAATGATCCCATTGATGTCTGTGACATCGGTACCCAGGTAATACTGCTGCAAATGAGTATACATGTCAATCATCATTTTTGTGGCATTTATTCTAAGGTTTGAGGCTCTTTTCCATTTTCTTGCTTTTTTTTGGCTGACTTGTGCAGGTGTGCACACCTGGTCAGGTAATACAGGTAAAAGTCCTCGGCATCTTGGCCATGATCGATGAAGGAGAAATGGACTGGAAGGTCATTGCTATCAATGCCAATGACCCAGACGCTAAAATCTTAAACAGTAAGTAATTTTTTTATGATTATTGTCAATGAAACATTCTGTAGCCTGAAAACATTGAGAGGTTTTATCTGTCACCTTGGGAATTCTGTTTTCAGTACACAGAGATTATTGGACACAGTGGCTTAACCCTGCTAACGGAGGAAATTATGAACCTTAAAAGATTAGAAACTGGTCACAACTTGTTGGTTTTGCCTTTGATCACATTCCCCTGACTTAAAAATATCAGAAGATTCAGCTCAGGACATAACCTCAGACCAGCACTCTACTATGAGCAATGCCGTTTTAGGTTTTTATAATCAGTGCAACAGCATTTCTCTCCAGACATCTTTTGTTTATCCTCAATGTCTCTGCTTCCTAATAATTTAAAAAAGCATTGTAGTAGCCAGCCTGTATTTTTTGGCCACCTCTGCCTTTTGGCTCTTTATAAACCAAGCCCGTTCAATGTCAACTGGCAATGAGGAGGCAACATTTTAAAATATGATCATGCGAGGTGACAAAACTGAAGATGGAAAGATAGTGATGATATGAGAGCCCAGCTTTGTTTCACATCATCCGTATATGCAAACTTTCTCTGACCGTGTACCATCGCCCCTTCAGCGTTTTCACGCTGCCTTCCTTTGCTCAGTTTTTTGCTGAGGACATGAAGGACAGCTGATTGTAGATTTACAAAACAGTTTTCTCTCTGCTTAACATAGAGATCTATAATCTATTTGAATAAAGATTTCCTGTTATGTAATTATATGAGAAAACAAATTGTCAAGATATATGCACAGTATAAAGCAGACTCATATTTTCTTGGTATATTGAATTGTGGTGTCTTGTTCTTCTTGCTTTCCTGTAAAGGTATAGAGGATGTTCGCAAGAGCCGGCCGGGTCATTTAGAGGCCACTGTTGAATGGTTTAGGAAATATAAAGTGCCTGATGGAAAATCTGAGAATCAGTTTGGATACAACGGGCAATTCAAAGACAAAGTCAGTATCTGTGTGCATATATGGAGCATGACATCAGATGTACGAATGTTTTCAGTTTTGGCGGCAGAAATGAATGGCTATTAAAAAATAATAAAAGGAAATTATGCTTTTGCTTCTAGGACTTTGCACTGAAGATCATCCAGTCCACCCATGAGCACTGGAAGGCTCTGGTGCAAAATCAAACAAACGCTGCAGGACTTGAATGGTAAGTGCAGGAGATGTGGACCAGCAGTGTGAATGTTGTGTGTGTGTATCTAATGAGATCTTTTTCTTTTTTCAGCAAAAACCTTTCATGCTGTGATAGCCCTTTTAAATTCAGTGATGCTGAAGCCAAAGCTGTTGTCCAGACGGCTCCTGCGTTTGGTAGCCCCTATTCTGTGTCTCCAGAGGGTAAGTACATAACTGAGGTTCATTTGTGTGGGTTAGCTTTTGTTTTGTATTTTAAAGTAATTCTGAATTTTGCACAGTGGACAAATGGCATTTCGTCTGAGGCCCCACAAACTTCTTGGAAACTGCCAAAACGTGAACATTTGCAGAACCGACTTCATTTCGTTTCATTCTTCCACTTTTTAGGTGGGTTTGTTTTATATTGAATAAAACTGGGTCAGAGGTATTAAGCGCCACAGATGCATGATACTTGTACATCATCAGCCGTTACAGATTTGGTCTATGTTATATTGAGTAAAAAGCCAGAAGTAAAGTGTTTGTGGATGCCAGATTTGGCATTGAGTAATCGTTGGTGATACAATGATAATTTTGAGTTTATCACAACAATTTCCTTTTAAATTGTACATGATTTTGATTAGCATCATCTCTGTGGTTGATCTCTGCAATAGACCGAAAGTTATTCTGTAATTTGACTTTAAGACTATAATCTGTGTGCCCTTGTAGTCCCAGCCTTTTTGTATATACCTGGAAAACATTTTCCACTTTTGAAAAATAAAATGATGTGTGTACATTCCTTGTGTTGAATTTAATCGTTAATTCTGTATTTAACAACTTCAAAGATATGGATGTAAAATTAATTCAGAGAAAAAAACAAATCCAATTGCTGTAAATAAATATAAATTTTATTAGGAAAAAAGAACACCCACATATCAGCAACATAAGGAATGATATAATAAACAGCTTTCAAATAAACTGCATCCAGTACATTACAATACTTACAGTATTAATACCCATCCTCATTTTTTTTGTAGCATACCAAACTTCAAGAGAACTAAGGAAGCTTTAAAAAGTTGAATGGCAAAAGTTGCACATTTCTTATACCTTTAGTGTTTAACTGCAAAAAGACTAAGTGTGTACAAACTGCTAGCTTAACCTTTGAGCAGAGCATATGAAATGCACAAGTTAAGCCAGGAAAGTCATTCAAGTAATGTTGACTCACTCAGAAACACTTTTAAGCATCTTCAAGTATGGCTATGCTTTTAACCCGCTATATCTTCTGGCACCTTGGCTTTCTCAACAACAACCTGCTACTGTAGCTGGGTCCTGTACAACGAAATTCAACATTTTTTGTATGAAGGTTTATTTTACAAAAAAAAAAAAAAGAATTTCTAGAATTTCTAATGACTGAGCTAGCATAATTCTATAACTGTAAACATTGCTGTGAGAGTGAGTGTGATATTTACAAAAAAAAACATCCTGGATAATCCAGCTAAAATTGTGTTGCTAACCTGGAAGGCCCAAAGGTTTTTTTTTTAAAGATAATCAATAAAGAGGTGTGGGTAAATTTTGCTGAACTGAAATAACCTACATGAATGTCAAAGAGTGAGTTATACTCCTGCAATACAAATTATTTGTATATACACATCGTGACTTCATTCTTTTTTTTTCTTTTTTCTTTTTTTTTGACACGTATACAATTTGTTTAAATAAAACGTTTTGTATCTCTTAACTACATACTTCTTTTCCTGAAAAATAAATGAAGTGCTTTGAAAAAAACCAATATGTGGAAGAGTGGGGTGAGTTGTTACAATAATGTGACTATCATTCAATTGCATTGCAATAAAGAGGGAAGAAATCATTATACAATTGCTTAGTGGTTATAAATAAATTTATCTATACACAGACACAAAGATGTGCAACTACATAATCACTGCCCTGTTCTTGCCTCATAGCAAAAGCACATTGATTGCTTTCAATTTAATATCATTCCCTTTAGTCAGGTCAGTGCATGTATGTTCAGATTTCTTTCAACAAAATGCCGCCATCTAACTAAAATAAGGAGAAATTTGCAGGTGAGGATGTTCATCTTTCCTCCAAGAATATTTTTTTGTTTTTTAACTGTATTGGACAAGAATGCTATTCAATTTTGGGATGTATTGACAAGTACTTCAATATGAAACAGAAGAGATGAATACAGGCAATGACAATGTACACAGAATTAGTTGAAAATGTCCCTGATTTACAGTAATATCAAAGTTCAAGTAGTACTTTCATATCGTACTGAAAGTAAGAGATGAACTTTTATGCCTTTTGTTGGCCTAAACTTTAAATGTAAATTACATTTTGAAAGTAATACACAAATGACAAAAGATATGTAAAAGTCCTATTGCCAAACTAGTTTTGAGGTATATGACAGGTTTATGCTGTACACTATTTAAAAGCCTTCTCTCTGTTCAGAGTCTCACATTGTATTATCTAGTAGGTTGAATAGCACCTTATGAAATAAAATCAGTTGAAACCAAAAGAAATTCAATGAAGTAAGCTGTAAGGACTCTTTACAACACTAAATTTCTAACAGTAAATCCAAAACAGGAACTTAATTTACTGTACATATCTCACCTGTGTATCTTACATTTAGATTACAATAGGAAAAGATCCCACAGCAAGCCAGCTGCCCTGTCAAACTGACACTGAGCTTACCCTGTTTTGTGTTCCTCAGTGTATCAAAAGCACATTCACTGAGCTCCACAGACATAAAACTACATGTAATATTCACAAAGCAGGTTTGCTCTTCAAACCTGCTGCAAAGATGATTAAAAACAGTTACTGACAACAAAGTAAACATGATAAAAACTAAAATATAAGAAGCGTTTTTTTTTCTTTTTCTCAAAATGTTTAAAAATGCACCATAAGAATGGCTCAATGAGACAGTATAAATTACAGCCGTAAGTGATAGAAGCACCAACATGATTTTTTTTTTTTTTACTGTTTTGCATGTTCTTTAAATACTTTCATGGATTGCTCACACCATCCCATTGCTAATAATCCATGAGAATTTCATGAATGCAGTGAAGCCAGAAATTTTTTTTTCATTTAAAAAGTTTTACCAAAACATTAATGATCTAAAAGTGCTCCATGAAAATTTGCCTTTCTTTTGACGTTGACAGGTTCACAAATGTTTATATACTGTACACAGAAGGTATTGAGTGTCACTCTTTGAGTGTGTTTTCCTTTTAGTGTGAAGGCATTTGAATAGAAATAAATGGTAACAAGTGCCTACTTTAGCACCATGAATATTGTCATCTACAAAGTCAGTGTTTTATGCCAAGTTTTTGTCCTCAAAATTTTGTAACAAAAATAAATCCACCAAAAATGAAACTTTGTTTCCAGCTAAAATAGATCCTTGTGTATCAGACTGAAGCACCAGTTTTTTTTTTCTATATTGCAAAAGATACCAAACAAAAATAAATACATCCTTAGTAGAGTGAACTGGTAAAGCTTGGTAGTTAAAGAGGTGAAAAACCTGCTGTGAAGAATTATTCATGTCTCATCTGATCATGTATTCCTTCTTCCGCACAAAAAAGGCTGCTGAAAGGCCTTTGGTGCCATTGATAATTTGCATTATAACATCTTCAGCTTTGTAGTAAGTTGTTTTCTACACAAACTGACTGTAAGGCCCAGTGACCTTGGTGAATGCATATGGAGTTGTACTGACATATGTGTTACTTGTGCATGATAAGGGTCCCTCCAGGAGTGCCTTGATAAAACGCTTGTATGGAGGCTCCCCTACACTTTCAGATGACTCAGGATGCTCACGCTTCACCCCTTTCTTGCTTCCCTTGGTTGGTGTGCTTTCGCCACCATTCCTCTCGGCCTCTTCCTCCTTCTCTCGAGCCTTTTCAGCCATCTTGGCCTCCCACAGTGCTAGTCCATGCTTTGCCTCATTCAAATTCTTGTGCTGGTAGAAGACTAAGGAGATACGCGTCGGATGGTTGCGATCTGGGTTTTTAAGAGGCGTTGTGGCATGGAGCTCCCGTTTTGCACACTCAATAAGGACTGAGCCGTGACTTGGTGCAACAGCCACCCCACCAATATCAGGATCCAAGAAATTGTGCTCGTTGTCTGACCACATCTCTGGCTTTTGTGGGGTTGTGGGTGTTTGGGGTGTTCCAGGCTCCTGCTTTATGACTCCGCCATTTGGCAGACCTAATCCTGACTGTGTTTCAGGATTTAAACACCCACCCCTCACCTGTGCAGACAGCATCTGTGAGCTGCCGGGCACACCCATCTCTCTCTTGATTTGCATATGGAAAGGATCTTGAACTTGGGGGAGAATGTTTGGACTCTGAGGCATGTATGGATTTGGATAGTCTCCAAACTGATTGCCTTTGTTCATTGTAGGTGGATAATTTATTCCTCCGTGGGCAGAGGGTCCTCTTAAGAGGGGGTCAATAAACTGAGCATCTAAGGTCCTGTTAGGACCATAGGGGCCATAAGATCTCATGGGGTGGCCTGGTCTCATGGGATTGTAACCATTTACTTGTAAACCAGGCTCGCTATATCTTGGTGGATAATTAACTTCATACTGTTGATGCAGTCCATACTGCTGCTCTGGATAAAGCGCTGGTCGCTGTTGTCGATACATGTCTAGGTGCTTTTGGTTTGAAGTGTAGTATGGATGGTAATTGTCAAGAGGCATTCCTCCATTACATTGGTAACTGGGGAATGGGCGATTCGATCCATTCATATACGAGTTTTGTACATGAATGGGAGAAGGATAAGGGCTTATTGGTGCTGGTGGCTGAGGGGAAAACATGTTGCCTGGTTTGGAAGTGCTTGAAAATGACCCAGGATTGTTGGGGAACCTAGTTACAGAGGCATTTGTTGAGCCAGGATAAGGGGGAAGTATGCCTTGGTGCTGTTGTTGCTGTACTTGCTGTGGATGGACACCAATAGGGTGTGATGGATGACCGGAGTGTTGGGTTGCTCCCATAACACCTGGGCCTAGAAAACAAAGCCCAGATAACCATTAAAACATAAAACTAATTCAGGTCCCAAAAAAGAGCTGACATATCTAAGGAAGATATTGTAAAATGTTTTTTAAAAAGAAAAACGTTTACACTACCTGCCAATAGAGTGCTCTGAGTAGTAGTCTCATAAGTGCCACCTTTTGACTTGGCCATGTTGGCCTTTTCTGCCTTGTCGTTAGCATTTTCCAACATGGCATTCTTGTTCGCAGCTGCCTTCTTTGCATCCAATTTTTTTTGCCTGCAAGACTTGGCTGGCTCCGCAAGCATGCGGACCTGGCGACGGAAGGCACTGAGGACCTGGATAGCACCTGACTTAATTTTTTCTTGTTGACCCTCTTCACTGCCAAATTCATCAGTGTTGGAAGCCTTATAAAGAGGTAAGACATGGAGCTGTTCATCCTCTGGTATCTTCCCAATACCTCGATTATCCTCTCTTGTTAATGTACACACCTGGAAAAGTTAAAATGAACACTTAAGTACAAAGCACAAAGTAATAGAACGTATATTGAAATGTATATACATGTGTGTGTGTGTGTGTGTGTGTGTCTGTGTATGTGTGTGTATCTATGTATAATACATGTTTTTTATATAATATATATTTTCTTGGTCACACTGACCACAGTGCTGCCACCCTGCATGTTGTGGAGGTCCCTGTGGGCATGGGCGCAGAAGTCCATACAAGCTGTAACCCCAGAGAAAGGTCGACCGTCCTTGACCCCCAGACGACAATCTGGTGCTCTATGCTCATGCTCCACCTGTGACCAAGCACAAGACAAAGGACACATGAACAAAATTGATTGATTCAAAATTGACTGAAGGTCAGTAAACAAAACATAGTCACTGCTTGAGGCACTTTGTGTTGTACTTGTAGCAAAACCTGTGTGCACATTATGTGATGTCTTTCTGGGCACAAGGAGATGATTCTCATCTTATTTCAACCAAAACTCTTAACATCACAGCCTAAAATACCCATTGACATATATGGAAATGTATTTGTGAACAATATTAATGTGTACCAATGCCCAGATCCTTGAGTGTGCTGTCCCTCCCTAATATATTTGACCGTTTTCTTTTTACAATTTGATTATAGGAAGCATATAGGACATAGTTATTGTCCAGTAATTTCTACGTGTAACTAAAAATCATGTTTGCTATTCTAGTATTATCCCATATGAAGTTTTTAATGTTGAGAAGATATTATATTTGGAACATCAAGCCATCTACAATGTTGGGATATACTTACCTGGTTTCCATAAGCTTCAGGTGCCATTGTTTTATACAAAGGACCCAGTAAGGTTGCTAAATTTTGAAAGTTATGCTCTATTCTCTCCTCCTGAAAAACAACATTTTCAGAGTCATTTACATCAAAATTTGAGTTTTGTAAAATTGGTGCATACATTACTTCTGATCTATGTGAAATACCTCTTTCACATCATCTCCGAGTAGCTTAAATTTTCTTGGGATTTTACTCCGGGCAAATTTGCATCCATTATAGTACATGCTCCAGGAGCAGCCAAAGGAGAAAGATGCACCGCAGGCCTCCGGCTGTAATCCCTGGCATGCACAGGTCCTCCTGAAATTGCACTTAGTTCAGTGTTTGGTTCTTACCCTTGCAGTATATTCTGAATACCAAAAGGAACTTCGTGTGTAGAAAAGAATCAATGATCAGGAAAAACAAAGCTTTGAACAAAAAAAACTCTATAATTGCAAGTTTACGTATTTTACACATGCAAAACATGAATAGAAGAGGGTTAAGAAAATGGTTTATGCATATCTTTACCATGGAGATATCAAGGTTACAGTTCATAAAACGTGTCTCAACAAATTAAAAGAAATCTGTTTCAGTCTAGGTGTTCTGTTGCTTACTCTTCATTGAAAGCACAGCGTCTCTGTGTGAGAGCTCCGTGTTTTTTTAAGGTTTCACTAAGCTCGAGGTAGAGTCGGTCAGCCAGACTGGGCTGGATGCCCTCCCAGACCAGGATTACGACAATGATACAGGCAGTGTCACATTTGTGTCCAGTACGTTCACGCACCAACACCAGTAGTTTTTCTTCAACACTGCCTCTGCGAATCACCTGAAACATGACAGATGAAAAAAATATATATAACAGAAACTTAGAAAGAAAATGCAAGACACTTATTTCTGCACTCAAATTACATAGATAAAAAAAGGATCATACCCATTTGGCTATGGGGCACCCTTGAGTGCTTTTCCCTTCCTTCCCGGTATAAATGACTTTCTCTATCCTGATGGAACGGCCAGTAAAACCAGACCTAAGCACAATAAAGGCATTTAGAGAACATGAAAAAGGAACACAGAAGCAAACGCTGTCCATCTTTACAGAAACAGCATTCATTATGTGTGTTTTACCTTTTCTCCATCAACTCCCGTATGCCAGCAACACTAGGGGCTGATCCCAAGTGGGTGTAATATGGGCCCTCATCCTTCTCAATGATTTGTTCTATATGCAGTGAAGCAAAATATGTTAGTATGCACACTCTAGCTAATCGAATCACTTAGCACAAGCGTTGTGAGACTCACCGACACAGTGGCAGGATGCAATGTCATACTGAGTTTTCATGGGGGTATCCAAGAGGTTCTTTATAGGGGTATCCAATAGCTTCATAGGAGATTCTACAAAACTCTGAAGAAGTTGTTCCTTTTTAGGGGTGCATTCAAGTGTTTTCTTGAAAGCTTGATTAGAAGAGGAGGCTGCTGATGGTTCTGCCCCGCTCATGTCTGTATTGGTTGAGAGGATTGTAACCGGCCCTGAAGATTCCAGCTTAACTTTATTCTGTGAATTGATGACAATGGATTTCTTCTCAAACACAGAGGAAGGCTGATACTGCCTCAGACTTTGTTCCATAGATGCCAGGATGCTTCTCTGCTTTTTGTTTTGATCACACATGGTTTGTTGATTTTCTTGCTTGACTTGGATTCCACCCAAGCCTGCTTCTCGCATCTGTAGCAGCTGCTCCTGCTGCTGAGAAGCAGACACCTCAAATCTGGCCTCATTTTCAATTTTTACAGCTCTCAAGATTTGTTTCGAGTCACAAGAGCTGTGAAAGGGTTGAGAGGGGCCCTGTCGTTCTTGCTTTTGTAACAGGTGCGTACGCAGAGCGGTGTGCCTCTGAAAGTCTACATGGGGACCCACAGGTCCCAGAGGTAGTTGAGGTCCCCTTTGGAACTGAGAGCAGGAAATATTCAGCTGCTGTTTAGCTTTGGGATCCATGTCTGTTGTCACCTGCTGGTTTAACGCACCTTGTGGCATATGAGGCTGGGACTGTAAAGAGGTCTTGGGAAAGTTCACTTGGTTGAGCTTGTGGCAGTGGTTGTTAGGCTGCGGTGAATGAAACTGCTTGAGGTTTTTACTGTCTGAGTATGGATTATACTGTCTTTGATGTTGTAGTTGTTGCATCTCTGTTGTGTTATCCTCAGTGTGTGTTGCATGGTCACTGGGCTGGATGTCTTGGTTAGACTGAACTGAATTACTGCTGAGAGGCTGGCTGGACTGAGGGTTGTGCAGACCAGGTGGAGGTTGACTGTGAGGTCTGTAATTTGGGGACTTTAGTTGCTGCCCCTCAAATTGGGGTGGATGTGAAAGCGGACGTTGAAGACAGTGCTGCTGTTGCTGTCTCACATAGTCAGTTGACAGTTTGTGCTGCAGGTCTGTATCCTTAGATAAGTGCTCTGATGCAATATGGGAGTGGTAGCGGCCATCTTTTTGGTGGTTCTGAGGGAAAGTTTGTTGTTCAGGCATTTTCTGTGGGAAAGGTTGCTGTATTTGAGATATTTCAGGATTTGACTTTTGCCACTCAGGGGCAGTGTTGTGCTGGACTGAAGCACATTGCATTTGAGTTGGTAGGCAGTCCTGTTGTTTTTGCTGGAAGCTGTTTGAACCTTGACTGTTGTCTATGAAAACTCCCTGTGTCTGGAATCTTTGCACTGAGTTTGGCTCTAGCATTTGCCCATGAACCTGGGGGCTTCCTGTCTGCTCCTCAGGCCGAGGCTTAGAAGGGAAGCCTCTCCACATGTCTTGCTCTTGCACCTGAGATGATGGGCAGCCTGTTGGTTGCTGATGGGAATGTGAAGGATTTGACTCCATCCAGCCTCTCTGGCTGAGATTTGAACATGATATGTTACCTCTCTGCTGAGATGTACTTTCCATACCATTTTCTAACCCAGTGTGCTGAGGCTTTTGTAGATCAGAGTCCATGTGTCTGGTACCATTAGTTCTGTGTTGTTTATCTGTATTTTCTTGAACATTCTGAATCCCATACTGGTAACAACCATCGTTGGCATGCTGAGGAAGACCAGGTAAAGGTCTCTCACTTTGCTCCTGTGCCCCTGCATTGGGAAAGGAACTATATCCATCTGCCTCTACTTCCTGTAGAGGAGTACTGCGCTTCATAAATGTGCAGTGGTTGAAGTCTTGCTGGGAATTTGTATAAATACCTTGAGTATTTGAGTCACTTGGGAAGCCCTCTGCACCATTCAGATGTTGTGAACTGTTAGCATTGCTTTTAGGTGGGATCATGCTTGGGGACTGCTCCACCGCATGCTCCCGACCAGAGAAAGATGGTGGCTGTGGCTGATGATGCTGTTGTTGCTGCTGGTGGTCTGCTCCAAAATGATTAGAATATCCATTTGCTAGATAGTTGCCAGAGCCGTAACTGTTGATGCCTTCAGCATTCCCAGATGCCCCAGGCTGCTGCTGCTGTTGTGAGTTAGGCATCTGTGCAGAACTGGGCAATCGTGAGGTTAAAACAGGGGATTGAGCACCTTCATTGGACAGCTGATTAGCCAGTGAGTCATTGACAGTATCCAACTGTGAACCTGATGTTTGCGGTGCAATTGACACCTGCTCAGGATAGTACTGAGACAAAGTTTTTTCTAACAAATCACCTGGAGTGCTTTCTATGGTTGAGGAGGGTGATACAGCACCATTTGAAACTTGTTTATTTCGTGGCAGGCAGAAAATGTCCCCATTCGGAAAATGACAGTTCCTTTTTTCAAAATGAATCTCTGTTTGAGGGGAACTGCATTCAAATTCTGTTGCCTTCGTCAACTCAGGAAAGTTGTCCACCAAGCTAGAACTGGTGTCATCGTTCCCTTTAATTTCAACATTTATTTTCATTTTCTTCGGCTGAGAGACCAGTGATTGCTCAGAGAGTGCGTGTTTCAAATCTCCATTTGTCAAGTCTCCATTCATTTTGTAGGATCCTTGATCGAATAACCCTTGTTCTGATGTTGGGATATTACAGTTTTCCCTATGTCGCTTCATGCAGTTGACTCCTGTGGCAGGTTTGTAACGTGCTGGTCTTGTGATCCAATTCGTATCCCCAGTATTCTGTAGAGAATCTCCTTCTGAAGTCGTTCCTCCATTTTGGAGTTTGCATGAGATATTGTGAGATGTGCCAAATTGTGCTAACATCAGACTTTCTTCCGTCTCATGTTTGGCCTGCTCTGTTTCCATCTGGCTTTCTCAGAGTCCATACACAGGGTTGCCCTCTCTCCGTCCTGCAAGGAATAAAAAAGGGGAGAGAAACAGTCAGTTTAATCAATGCTTGATTAAGATTTCAAGCAATGCTGCCTGCTGTTGTGTAAAAAGATTATCTTCTAAGTTTTAAGGTAAGTTTTGAGTGATTGCATACTGGCAGGGATCAAGTCAAACAGGTGCCAAATATTGTGCAGTGAGAACGCAAAGCAAAGTATGCGTATGAATTTAACTCTCTCTAGTTGAACAACTTTAGCTTGGGTAATATATTCTGCTAGTAAGATTCTTCATGCAGAACACAGATATAATAAACCTTTTTTCAAATTCTTCTTCAAGTCAGACTGATGGTGCTCTGGTGGGCTGTACAAAGGTATGTAAGTAAGTAAATAAACATAGACTATAATAATAAGAAGGGTTTTTTCCTTCTATCACATACAGGGATGTATTTGGATTAATTTAAATTATTCTGATTTAACTGAATTATAGTTTACTGCAGTAAATGCAAGCGACATTATTCCGGTAGACTATTGATCTATTTCTGCCTCCCCCCATTATAAATGCAAGTCACAACCGAAGCATCTGAAAAAATCATTGCAGTGCACAGGTAAAGGGAGCCGCAGTCAAATCCATCATAATTATCAGTGACTCTTGCAGATACCATAGAATGGGTGGCCGATGATTAAACAATGCCTATAGTTGAAGCCTATAGTTAGTTTAAGAAAGAAATGACTGTTGTTGTTTCGATGTATGGTTAGATTTTCCTGTGTAACTCTGGTACTTATGTGTACCCCCCTTTAATTGTCTCTTATTTTTCTAAGAAAACATAATGACTTAGTCATTATCAAGTCTGACTGTTTGGGTTCTGTGCTTAAAATCATGACACCAGCAACAGACAACCTTCATTTTATCAGTTCACACTGGTCATGTTTGAGCTTTTCCTTACATGGAGCCTTTCAAAAGCAAAACAGAAAAAACACTTTGCAGCATTCAAACCCTTTTTTTAATCATCCTTAATTACACAAAGACAGAGCTTTCAGCATTTGAAAACAGTAGGTACCCATACATCTCAGGGCTCAGTTGCCTGCTATTAGGATCAGTTTTTAAACCAAAACAAACATACCTCACAAACTCTGAAAACATAATTGGATCCAGCTTCCCACCAAAGCTGCGCTGTTAATGTAAACCCTCTACAGACTCAGTTTTGTCATGCTTCTGAACACAGTGATAAGTAGAGGAATGGGTCCCTCTCCCGCGAATGAACACAAAATGTGCTGCACACATGAGGCATGCGTCCCAATGTAAGACCTTCCTTTGGCAGCGATGCTGGATCACATGGAAAAATGACAGTTTCTCTGTTAATTAGGCTGAATTCAAACAAAAAGTTTGCCTAGAGGGATAATGCAGGTTAGAAAGTAAGTTTCCTCCTTGGAAAGTCACTCACTGTTTAGAGTTTTTGACTAAATGAAAGAAAACATTTAGGATTCAACATCTTGAGATATATATATATATATATTTTGTCTTTGCAGGACAATGACAAAAGAAAAAAAACTGTATAGCAGCTTTGCCCCAGTTATCCACTGAACAAAGGCCATGAGTAATATCAGGGAATGATCTACCAAGGCTGGCAGCCGGGTTGACATAATGAATCTTTAACCCCGTCAATCATCAAAAGTGTATTTTCATCAGCACTTATATTACATATAAGTAAGGACATATTTCAGAAAGACTGAATGAAAGAGCAAAACTGAGCATCAAATGGTTATTTGTAAAGACCTAGGAGTGTTTTTAGTTAGTACTTAATAAAAACTACATGTTGAGAACTCTGTATGAACTGTTTTATTGGTTTAATTTTAAAATTCCGACTGATATTTTAAACAAAAATGAACAGGATGTTGGCAATCTGGAAGAAATATGCCATAGTTAAACTTATTTGATTTCTTATTAAACGAAAGGTCTACAGAGAGGTTAGATTGCTTATTTCTTATACCAATGTAGCATTGTTACTAAAACTACCAAACTTTATTCAAACAATTAGTAGTTCAGTTATTGGAAACAAGTTAGATTAAATAATAATTATTATCATTCTGATTATTACGGAGTGTCTTACCATTGAAAATGGAGAGGAAAATGTGCTTTCCCCTAAGCAGAAAATTTTATCAGGGAGAACTGTCTCATATAATGAGGGCTGGTATCATGGGAACCCACTACCAGATAGAGTTTCTCGCTTTTCTATGAAGCTCATTGGGTTTTTTCCCTCTAACTAAACATATGCTATCATCAGTTATACACTGGGGCTTATACACTCAGGCAAAGGTCATTTGCCACACAGTCACAGTCAATATGGATGTTGTTGATTTACTCAATTGCTTTCTAATGATTAACAATTCATTTTTGTCATCTCTATGTTACATATTTCCAAGGATTTGCCGATAGATTTGTAAAAAAAATTCAAATTAGACACTTGAGATATGAGGCAAGCACTAGAGCTGCCATCTTTTTTTTTTTTTACTCTTTCACCAACAAAGTATCCTTTAGAATGTTGCAGTGGGAATTGAGGGTAAACGAGGGAATCTCATGTCCCCAACCCTAGTGACTACTCCTTTGTCTTTCTGGCTCTCAGCAGAGTCTGTAAATCAGCAACAGTGTCAAAAGGTGAGCCTAAGTGCTAAGCGGCTTTAAGGGGAGCTCCATTCCTATGGGACACTCCAGGGTTTGCATAGCGCCGAACGGAGCCAAGCAGCTTGTCACAGTAGGATACACCCACACTGACAACACACAAAAAAAAAAAAATCTTTGCAAAGCTAGAACAAAGCCAGAGATCCCAGCTGTGTGCACGCATATCCAGGCTACATACAAATGTACAAACACACACAAAATGATGCAGACCTAATTTAAATCTGTGTTTTCAGACATTTTCCTGTGCTGTTACTGGGTTTAAAAAAAAAATAAAAATAAAGATTTTTTTTTGCTCTGAAATTAGAGCACTAAATTAAGCCAAAGGCACAAAGCTAATGTAGCTCTAATGTGAATCTCTAATGGAGTTTAAAATGCTTTGATCTATTAAGGCTTTCATTTTAGTAGTCAGTGTCCACCAAGGAATGAGCTGCAGCCGAATTGTGAATTAACTCGAGCTGAATTCCAAAAAAGCTTTCTTTCTTAACATGAATCAAGTTTTTGTGTCAATATATACTTATTTTGAAAACCCTTCCTGCACCCTTATCTGTTGACTGTAATCACACTTTGTTCATCTCTGCTTGTGTTTGCCACTCATTTATTCCCTGCTGTTTACTCTACTAGTTATCAAAATGACTAGCCAGCCATAACCTCCTGCTGTCTAATCTTTAGCTTTAGTCACTGAAAATGCACCTGCTCAAAATGTGTGTTCCTGTTAATTGTTAAGTGAGTGGAGAAAACCATTATCAAGGAGACATGAGGTCAAGCATGGAAAGTTTTTTCAACATTTAGATTAAGGCGAGTATAGAAAGTATTTGTAGGGGCAAATTAAAAAATATTGGCCACCAAATAAAAGAAGTCCCTGGGTGGATTTTTGTATATTTCAGATTTCCGATTAGTCATCTGGACCTTGCTTCTCCTGTTTCACACAGCATCAGCATTATCGGAAGACCATTCATGTGCTTTCACCAAAAATTCTGTATAAAATGTCTGACAATGGACATCCACACAAGCCTTAGGTGACAACTACTGAGAATTGGTTTATCTAATAAAGAAGTATAATTATATCTTTGCAATAACACATTGCAGTTGTTTATCGTGTTTTAAAATCTGTAGTCATCAAGATCTGTCTTTTCTTCACAATGCCCTATATATTTTCAGTGGGAAATCTGAATTTCTATATGCACATCTGCATCAATGATACCTTCACATATATGCAAGTCAAACATGTTTGGATTGTAATGGGCCTCTTGTGTGAGGTCGTTTTCAGCCTTTACTTGCATTGACATTCCCCAGACTCCCTGAATCAGGCACTTAAGATGTCCAAGGACCAGAGTTGTTAGAAATTTCCAATTGACTGATTTATGATTCTCATCATTTGAAAAGCTAAAATCCATCTTTGTATGCAAACATCAAGAATTTGGTGGATGCTCAAATCTGGCCATCAATTAATCTGCTTATTAAATCAGTCTTACTTGACTTGGAAAGTCTCATTGCTTTATTCCTTACATCCTTTATGTAAGGAATGAGGAATCACATCCTTTATTTTCAGTTATGTCAGTGGTTTATGGGGCATTTATTTACAATATCTATCCAAGATGAATGTGTGAAATAAGTCAGCTCCAGTCAGCAGCTGATCCATGCATGTCTCAGTGTTAGCACAAGCAGAATCATTCAGAATGGGGAATATAACATTCGGTCTCTCGAGATGTATGCAAGGGGATAAGTCTTCTCAGGCCATTTGTCAGATTGAGTAGCTACTTAAAATTGTCCACTTGTGTTTTGTAAAATAAGATTGTGTCAAAATATTGGATTGTAGTTTAATATAGCAGTTTGTGCATCTAATCAAGTGACTCTAATAAGACTAAAATCGTTGATAATAGTTATTCTCCGATAAGAATAGAATTGTGTTGCCAGTCAGCTACTGTATACTGCAAACAAACTCCTGCACTTAAGCTTCTTAAAACTAAAGTGAAGCCTCTGCAAAGTAAGTACCAACCAAAAATGTTAGTGTGTGACTCTGTAAATGTTGTATTTTACTTAATTTGATTGTTTCGTATTTCATACAGCTTTTTTTACTGTCATAAGCGGTATTACTTTTTTGTTTGTTGTCAAATCAGTATGTTGTGGGGAACACCTGTTACAAGCTACGAGACAATTCATTATAAATTAAATAAGGTGTGAAAGAAATGACTGCGTTGCGGCTATCCAGACAGCAAGTAATGTAGTAATGTTGGTCTTGGACTGGACTCACACTTAAGTGTGTTTGTGACTCATATAGAGAGCTTGTGAAATATGAGAACTGTCATAGTAGAACAGGTCTGTTTGGCGTGACTTGGCAGCCTCATGTGACA